AAAAGAAAGAAAAAAACCATCTTTATCTGCGTCCGTACTTCGGGGCTTCCGTGGGATTTTTCCTCAGGGATACGGCAAGCCGCGCGGTACGGGTCTGAGCTTATCACACCCCCCCCCATGATGATGCCTTCGGTAGAGTGGTGCTGTCGCTCTAACCCCCTACGATTGCCTAACCCAGTAGAACTACCCTGCCACCTGCGTGGCAGGGACCCACACCGTGGCGGGTTGGATGTGGACCCCGCAACCCCGCAACCCCACCCTCCTCCTCGCAATTCAGGGTAGACCACTCCCCTACTCTTGCTCCCTCCAAGAACATCACGCCCTCCATGATGATTCCTCTGCAGAAAAGTACTCTCTCACCCACTGCTCTGAGACATCCTGTCCCCTTTCAGGCACCCCATGAGACGGGGATCCTCTACCCTTTTTTTTTTTCTTTCTTTTTTTAAATCCCAGGGTGTTGTATAGGCCAAGGACTAGACCCACGATGATCACTGGCGCTGGCAGAGGCAGCGGAACGGGGCTCCTCTACCCTAACAATCCCATATATATCCAAGAAGGGAAGGGGGCCACTAGCAGCTCCATGCGACAACGGAGCCCCGGGCAGAGACAACTATCACCACAGCCCTAGGAAACAACAAACAACAATATTTGTATTACAAGATGTATCAATGGGACAGTGGACCTGGTTTCCAGCAGGTGCCGCTCCCTACCAATAGATGGAGCAGCCCGGCAAATAAGTCCTGAATTCTGACGGTTCTCTTACCACCGCCAGATTGCACCAGCCCGCCACGATGATGACAATGCACACAAAACTCTCCCCAACTCCCACCTCCACTCACACGTCCACAGCCCAAATGTTGTACATTTTTACGACGGAACATACGATGTAATTTGTTACAATGTTTTAGACGCTAACGGCACAACATTCACCTATCACATTCAATGGCAAGTTCCCGCGAAACCCTAAACGGTCCATGGTCGGAGCAGCACCAAATACAGGCCACACGATGATCGCTGCTTGTACGCCGCACACCCGACGCTCAGATCCGCACACGTCACACAGTACAACTCCAACACAAGCAGGTGGGACCTAGCCCCTGGATAGAGGGATATTGCAAGGGCTATCCGAAAAAAAAAAAAAAAAACCAGCAATCCCATATATAGATATCCCCCTCTATCCTGACAATCCA